ATATATATATATATATATATATATATATATATATATATATATATATATATATATATATATATATATATATATATATATATATGTATACATACATATATATTCATAAAACTTAGGCTCTTTCCAGTTAACGAAAAATGGTTGAGAAATATGAGTCTCTAAAGAACACAGAAAGCTGGGTTTTTTCTAAACAAAAGAACGGGGCAATTAAGCAAGGCATTTTTCGTGCCCTGCGGCTATTGTATATGCAAAGTGTTTCTAGGCCAGTTGCATTCAAAGGGCTTATTAATTAAATATCATACGTACATGCAAATATCATGATGTACATCTAAGAACATGTAAATACAGCTGCATACATGTGCATGTTTTATAATGACGATTGACTTTAATGGGTGATGTGCTGAAAAAGGATCTACGCACAACTTCATATAATAAACACGAGATAAAAATAAGCCGTGAGATGAGGGTTGAAAATATGCTTAGAAAACAGATTCCGTAGCACCCCTCGTGTAACTACATAATTTTTACATGAATGGATAGATAGAACTTACTTAGTTAGAATCCACTTCCGCCAAGTAAAATAGTACAACCTCTCCAAAGTACAGGCTTCTTTGAATTCTGAAATCCGTGAACCCCCATTGTTGTGTTGCAAATACGCATGCGCTTGACCACAAAACACTTAAAGCGCACGCGCAGATTAGAAAAACTGATCTCAATCCTGTGTTAAAGTATGCTCTATAATATTTGGTTGATTGATTGTTAGTAATTAATATGATTGTATAAAGATATGCAATTAGAGAAGATGACGCAAGAACATAATTCCATAGATTCCACACACACACACATATATATATATATATATATATATATATATATATATATATATATATATATATATATATATATATATATATATATATATATATGTTGTAATGATTATCCAACGATAAACCTAATTATAATATGGTAATATAAATGAAAACGTAACGTAATATATCCTAAATGTATAATTATGTAATCTCTTATCTCTTTAATTTGTTATGTAAAGTCAGAGTAAATAAAACTGTTGAACACTAAAGTTGTCGTGTCAGCTTGTACTTAGTTAAAGGTGTGGCAAATGGCTACACCCCAAAACCCAACAGGTTATGGGCCCAGGAGAAGACTTGTCTTCAACGGAGATGAAAGCAAGTATGAACTCTGGGAGGTAAAGTTTCTCGCATTCATAAGGATTCAGAAACTTTACGACGTGTTTGTTCCTAGCGCAGACGAACAGGCTAGGAGCTAGATGAGGCAAGGAATGAAACTGCCTTCGCCGAATTGGTCCAATGCTTGGACGATCGAAGTTTGTTTCTGATCGTAAGAGAGGCAAGGGACGATGGGAGAAAATCCTTGACGGTGCTACGTGAATATTACCAAGGTAAAGGAAAGCCAAGAATCATCGCTTTGTACACGGAGCTGACCTCGTTGAAAAAGGGCGAGAACGAAAACACGACTGATTATATGCTCCGAGCGGAGACTGCCTCGACGGCGCTTAAATCAGCCGAAGAAGTCATTATAGCGACGGACTGCTAATAGCTATGATTTTAAAGGGACTTCCGCGAAGTTATCTAACGTTTTCAACTGTATAAGTCATACAGCGGGAGAAGCAGATGACTTTTAGTGAATTCAAAACAGCCTTACGCAACTACGAGGAGAATGAAAAGAGTTGTAAGACGGAAGACCAAGACAACGTGATGTACACAAAGCCACAAAAACGATTTGACGGAAAATGTTTTAAATGGGACCAAAAGGGTCACAAAAGCTCGGATTGCTGGACAAAGAGCGAGAAGTGGTGAAGTAATTGTAAAAGTAAGACCCACAATACGAAGGACTGCACAAGCAAGAAAAACGGCAAAGACGCAGCCAAGACAGCAAATGAACCGATAAAGAAGAAAACAATGGACACTCATTTACTTTCACACTCAAAGACTCAAACGACAGAAGAAATATTGACAATGAAAACTTATACTAGTGGGCACTGGAGCGACTAGTCACATAATTAATGACAGTTCAAAATTTATAAATTTTGACGAAAACTTTGATTCTAGCACTCATTTTCTGGAATTAGTTGATGGTAGTAAATCTAACGTTGTATTAGGAAAAGGGAATGCTAAAGTTAAGCTATTTGATGTAAAGGGAAATATGCATGATGTTATGTTGTATAACGCGCTCTACATTCCTTCCTATAACCAAAATATTTTTTCAGTTTCAGCCGAAGTAGGTAGAGGAGGCTCATTAAACTTGGGTAAACAGATAAGTAAATACACCACTGAGGAAGGCAATGTATTTGAGATCAAGCAGAGAGGGCGTTTGTACTATTTAAATAGCGCGCATCATCATCAAGTAATAATGGTAGTTCAATAGAGCAGTGGCACAAGATTTTAGGCCACTGTAATTACGGAGATATTAGAAAGCTAGAGCAGGTAGTCAAGTGCATGAAGATCACTGATCACAAGGAGCCAGAATGTGAAGTATGTTCTCAGGGCAAAATGTGCCAGACTAGAAGTAAGAAGACCAGAGAGCAAAGGCACCCTTGGAATTTGTACATTGTGATTTGGCAGGGCCAATAGAGCCCACTGCCAAAGACGGATTTAAATACGCTTTATCGTTTGTAGACGATTTCACAGGTATAAACATGGTCTATTTCTTGGAACAGAAGAATGACACTACAGAAGCAGCATAGAAATACATAGCTGACGTTGCGCCTTATGGAAAAAATCAAGCGACTACGTAGCGACAACGGAGGTGAGTTAATTAGTTATCGATTTAAGAGTCTCTTAAGAAAGCACGCAATCAAGCACGAGACAAGTGCGCCATACTCACCGCATCAGAACGGTACAGTAGAAGAGCATGGAGAAGTTTGTTTAGCATGGCGAAATGTCTTTTGCTAGAAGCAAAATTACCAAAACACTTGTGGACATATGCCGTGATGGCTTCAGTCTACATCTGAAATAGATGTTTTAATCCACGTTTAAGTAAAACACCCTACGAAGCATTAATCGGTAAGCAACAGAATTTAAGTAATATGCATGTGTTCGGATCTATCTGTTATGCGTTTGTACAGAATGCTAAAAAGTTAGATGCTCGTAGCCAAAAGGTATCTTTGTCGGGTATGACAAAGGAAGTCCGGTCTATTTGGTGTTTTATCCGGAGACAAATAAGGTAGAAAAAGTACGATGTGTAAAATTCATTGATAATTTTTCAAGCCGAGCGAGATGAGCATGATTTAATTTCGAACAGAGAGCGAGGTGAGAACACTGATAAGCCTGAGGCCAAGATGCCAAACATTAATGAGGAACAGAACACTCAGGAATTTGAGACTGAGCAAGTAGGTGATGACAAAGATATACACGAACAGCACAAACAAGACATTTATGCAGAAAGGTATCCAACAAGAGCACGCAACAAACCTAATTATTTTGGACTAAATAAGCTAGTGATAGTGATAGTGACTTTAATGGATTCATAGTTTGCAGTTACAGAAGAACTGTGCCCTGAATTATCTACGAATATTTACAAGAAATGAATAGTTAGTCTAAATAGATTACCAATAGATTAGTTAAAAAGTTTGATCAAAATAGTTTTCTAAAATTCAAATGGGAATACATTAAGAATATATACATTCAAGATTACCTAGATTTTTACATATTTGAACTGTTAGAAATGACAAAGGAGTTTTTAAAGCGATCGGTTCTAGTTCTTGGCACTAAAAGTTTACGGCTTCTTCTTAGGGAATATTGGCATGAGTTCTCCTTTGGAATCAGGTTGTGTAGTTTATGACTAGTATCAGAATAGGCTTGGAGAAATAGCTTTTTGCACGCTTCCGATCGGCGATCACACAGGGTTTCTAGTTTAGCTATTTTGAGGCCTTCTTCGTATGAAACGCCAGGAAATATTCTTTTGATA